AGCGTCATACCATTTTCCTTGCAAAGCCACATTTACTCGACAATAGATCTGATACTCAACCCCCCATACTCTGATGGTTTTAGGATTTCGTCCCATTTTACCAAATAAAATGTGTCTCCTCATCATCAACCTCAGATAAAATTGCATTGTAAAGTTTCCAGTTTTCTGCAACAGTCATAAGAATCGTTATAGTTGACACATAATAAATTGGAAGATTAGCCAGGGTGCTTTTTATCAACGCATGTCTCCCTCCTTTAGACAGTAACTTTGTCTTTCAACCAGCCAATCTATTCTCACACATTTCCAAAACAGAATCCCATGAGGCGCTACTCTTATTCCTATCCCCCAAAGGCAAACCAAGATATTTGATCGGTAAAGTGACTTCCCTACACGCTAGTACCGCCGCATAGAGACTCCCATCATCAACGCCACCCAACTTTTAACCAATTCAGATTTTTGAAGATTAATCTTCAACCCCGATACCCTTTGAAAACATAAAAAGATACACCTCAAATGGAAAAGGTTTCTCACATCAGGGTGACAAAAGATTAAGGTGTCATCAACAAATAAAAGATGATAAACATCCAGTGTACTGCTTCCATGACCCACACAAACACCCTTAAGAAGCTGCAGATCTACGGCCTTGGTCATCAATCCATCCAATGCTTCCATAACCAAAATAAATAACAAAGGAGAGAGAGGGTCACCTTGCCTTAAACCCCAAGAGGCCGTCAAGAAATTCGAAGGACCACCATTAATGAGAAAAGCAAAAGAAGTGGTAGTCAAGCATGTATGCATCCAAAGTCTCCATTTTATCCCAAAACCAAACCTCTCAAGCATATAGTCAACAAAACTCCAACTAACATGGTCATATGCTTTTTCCATATCAAGTTTACAAATGATCCATTCCTTTCTATTAGTGACTATCGTTGACTATCTCATTAGCTGCCATAACAGCATCAAGAATTTGTCTACCATCCACAAAAGCGTTTTGACTGTCACTAATATCCCCAAGAATTCTAAAAAATCTTCTAACCAAAACTTTAGCAATGAGTTTTTATATACATAGCCCACCAAACTATCGGCTTGAAGTCACCAAATTCCTTAGCCTTCTTCTTTTTAGAAATAAGAGCAAGAAAGGTAGAATTGAGAGATTTCACAAATTTTCCAGATTTATGCATCTCCCTAAACATTTCCAACACATCAACCTTGACAACATACCAGAATTTTTGTAGAAATTTCATATTAAAACCATCCGGACTCAGAGCTTTATCTCTATCACACACATCTAAACACTCTTTAATCTCATCATCAGCGAATTCCATTTCCAGCATTAATTTATTGTTATAAGAAAGACACATAAAACTAATACCATCCAAAGTGGCCTTACCATATG